GTCTGCAGGGCTTGTATGGGTTCACTCTAGTCCTTCCTCCCTGACAGGCCTCAGTTCCCCATAAGTGATTAGGAAGGTAACTGGGTTCCTTTTTGTTTATCAGCATTATCTTAAGTGTTGGTACAGTGAAAGCACGTTACTTGTATTATTATTATTTTTTTAAAGGCCACTAAAGGTTTGATTTTCCTTTTTCTCTAATAGTATAATACTCTGGAAAGAGGCCTGGGTTCAAATTCAAGCTTGCCCACTTCCAATCTGACTTTAATAGGCAATTTGCTTAATTTCTCTGTGCCTCAGTTTTCCCATCTGGGGAAGGGGGACGGTCCTAATAGTATCAATCTCTTAGAATTGTTGTGAGGATTAAATTGAATCAGGCACCTAGTACAGTGCCTGGCACAAAGTAGATGCTTGATCAGATGGTCTCTCATTATTTAAAAAAATAATAATAATAATAATAATTACTATTATTGGAAGAGGAAAGAAATGAACCAAACACTTCTTGAGTCCCTTCTGCCCTGAGATTCTCAGACCTCTGCCCCACTTCCCAGAATTCCAGCTCAGAGTCCCGGACACAGCAGACACTCAACAAATATTTGTCAAACTGGGAGAAAAGGAACTGTATCTTGTAATTTTCCATCTTAACATCCTCTCTTCCAACTGCCCCCAAGACTGTCCCCAGCCAAATCAGCCAGAAATCTGAGGATCCCAGCCCCCTCCCCTCCCTCAATACTGCTTAGGAATTTCTGAGGGATCCTGGGCCAGGCCTTTCTCTCTTTGAGCCTCAGTTTCCCCAGCTGCCCCCAGACAAGGCCATGGGTCTTTCTGAATCCTTCCTAGCTGTCCTGGGAGAAGGGGCACAGCCCAGTAAGTCGGGTGTGGCCATCAGGAGGGAAGACCCCTCAGGAGGTGGGAGTAACTCTCTGGTGAGACAGGCATCAGCTCGACTTCTGCCCACCTCCCAGGAGGTGGGAGGTTTGGTCGTGGCCAGCAGTAGGGGGGCCTTGTGGGAGGGCCAGGGCCTCGGGGACTGGGGGCGGGGAGGCTGGCCCAGACATTGCTCCTGCCCTTTTACGGTCTCAGTGAGTGAGGCAGCACTAACTCGGACATCCGCCATCCGCCTTCCACCGTGCCTGGGACCGGAAACGCGGCGGGGTGGGGGGCTGGGGGGGAGGCAAGGGGCGGGGCTGGGGGGCAGCGGGAGAGGAGAGCCCCCCCAGGAAGAAGGTGAAGGAAGAGAGCCTGACTCCCGAAAACCGCCCCCTCTCCCGGGCCAGACCTTGAAGGGATGTTGCTATAATGGGGGAAAGGGTAGGCAGGAAGTCTTGTGGGTGTCTGTGGGTGCCCCCTTGCTCCAAATTTTCCAGCAATCCCTTTACAGCAGAAGGAACAAATGTACGAGGGGGATTCTCTACTGACCGTAAAAACGAATGCCACCCTATGTCAGAGGGCAGGGGTATGGGGAATGTGGGAGGATGTGGGCGCCAGGGGGTTAATCCCCAGCCGCCCCCAGGGGCCTCCCCCTCGAGCTGGGGGCTTTGGGGCAGGAAGTCCCTGACAGCGTAGAGGAAGGGAGATAGTATTGTCAGGCTCAGGCCTCAAGGGAGAGATTATGGGGGGCCAAGAGAAAGGAAGAATAAGGGGGGGCTAGTCGGGTCCCCCAGCCGCACGGGCCCCGCCCTCAGGTGAGCCCAGGAGTTTTGAGGGAGGCCCGGGAAAGACAAAATCCCTGGGTCCCTTCGGCCCCCAGCCCCCAGGATTAAATTCCTGGGAAGATTGCTGGAACTCTCTGGGAAGCCTGGGTCCCTTGGGGAGAGGGCTATGACCTTGACGCTTTGCAACGCCCCCTCCTCCAACCGCACAACTCGGGACTGCTGGGGAAGGGGGGGCGGTGTTGAGAGAAGGGGGAGGCGCCGTGGTGGGGAAAGCAGCCGGCCCACGGCGCTCTTTGCCGGCCCCTCCCCACACCAGCTGTCTCGACAGGTGAGTCAGGAAGACAAAGGCCCCCCTTCCCCCAGCTCCCGCGCCCCCTCCCTCCCCAGGGCCGTGCAGGTTGGGGAGAGGGGCCGCCCTTCTGGCCCGGGGCCGGGGAGCCGCCCTCGGCCCAGAGCGCTCGCTCGGTCCTAGGCACAGCCTGTTTTAAGCAAATTGTGGGTGGGGAGCAGCGGGGGAGGGGAGTCCCAGCCAGACCCTGGAGGCTGCGTCTGGGTCCGTGGATCCGTCCACACCAACCTCCTCCACAGGAGGATGAGCCCCCCAAATTTAGGGGGTTAAGTACCCCCGAAGTTAAGGAGCAAGGTCGCTCTTGAGAAGACTTTTCCAGCGCCACGTAAAAGGGGACCCCCGAAAACCAGTCTACGTCTCAATCTCTCTTCCAGGTCCCAGGGACCCCCAAACCGGCCCCCCACAATCCCTCTAGGGGCCGGGTTGAGATTTGGGGGGAGTCTGAGCCCTGCCTAAATCCTAGCCTCCCTGCGGGGAGTATTTGCCAACTTCAAGGTCCTCTGAAAAAGTCTTTTAAAAATTCGGGAGTCCTTGGAGCGCCCCCAAATCTAAGGGCTCCCGGGAGAACCTCACCGGCACCACGCGGAGCCTTGAGAGTCAAGGGGAAGTGGTCAGTATTTGGAGCTCGTCAAAGGGGGCTCGGCCTCAAATCCGAGGTTCCCAGTGCCCGGTCCCCAAATACCAGCCCGGAGCAAGCTGGGGGGAGGGGGACAAAGGCGGGGCGGGAGCTCGCGCCGGGCGGGGAAGGGTCTGAAGGCAGTTCGAGGCTCACCTCATGGCTGCGCGGCGGGCGGGCGGAGCGCCCACGGGGTAGGTGCTCCCGGGGCGCCCCTGGCTTGAGGTTCAGGGGTTCAGGGCTGGCTCCAGGTTCTGCTCAGTCTCCCCCAGGGTCCCGCCCCATAGAGTCCGGCTTCCTGGGGGGAACGTGGACAGGGCCGGGGCGGGTCCTCGGGCGCCTCCTCTCTCGGGGGCTCTGATCGGGGGTCCCGGCAGCAGAAAGGGGGTGCGGCGTCCCCTCCCCGGCGCGCCCCCTCGTCCGGCAGCGGCTACAATGTTACTCTTACTACTGTACTTCTCTTCGCTACATTTCGTTCCAAAATTCCACTCCCCGCACCCATAATGCCCTGCGCCTTAAAGGGGCCGCGGACATCTCAAGGCGGTGAGGTTGAGGGGGGTGGAGGGCGCTTAAAAGGGCAACGCGGAACCTTAGACTTCCGCTATTTCCCTCTTCCCCAACGTTACTGCATAGCGATACACTCTGGGGGTCCCCCCTCCAAATCAGAGGGGAAGTTTGATGGAGAGGAAGGGATCCTTCCTTGATCCTTCGTTCTCTCCCACGATGGAAATTCTTAGGGGAATATCAATGGGGGCACAATTTCTTCTCACCCTTCCCATCGACTTCTCCATTTCTTTACATTCTACTCAGTTTGGGGGGCGAAGAGGACCTTCTGGTCAAGCATAGATTCTCTCAAATTTTGTCCCTTAAATCCTGCCTTCGGAGCCCTCAACGGTCTCTCTCCACCAATTTATGAGGGATTACTAAGGGGCGAACCCCCTCCCCCGCCGAAGAGCGGAATGGGTGGGGAGGGGGCCCACCCCTCTCACTGCCCCCCCGCTCCGCCCGCCCTGGGAAGGTGAGGAGGAAGTGGGCCGAGGGGGCGCGGCTGGCCGCTGACTCACAGCCGCAGGGTGTGTGTGGGGCGAGGCGGGGGTGGGGGTGGGGGTTATGGGGTGTGTGTGTGCGGCGCTGGACCTCGGTGGGAATGGGACTCCCAGTCCCTGTGTGAATAAGGCCCCTTGTCCCCTCTCCACGCACGCCCCGCCGTGACTCAGTTTCGTCTGCGGAGGATGGTGGGATCATCCAGCAATCCGAGGGAACGGAGGTGGGGGACCCTCCCTAAGCCGGCTCCCGGGAGCCCCCTCCCCCGACGCGCCAGATTCGGGCTGAGTCCCAACACCCTCCCAGGCTTCCGCCACTGGTCCTGCAGACTCCGCCTTACGTGACGTCACCAATATGTTCACGCCCCTCTCGTAGAGCGCCACCTGGCCTGGGTAAGGTGCCTTAGGCTGGGGCAGGAAACTGGGGAATCAGTTCGACATTTAGAAATGGATAAATTGAGGCCTGGAGGCAGGAAGTAAATCTGGGGTATAGCCCTCTTGCCTGAGCCACCAGGACTCCAGTGGTGCAAGGTATGAGTGTAAAACAACTCTTGGGGCCCAGCTGACTAGGTGAAGGAATCAAGATTCCCAGGCTTTTTTTTTCCAAGAGGAATCTGCTGCTGGGTGCCGTTCCTTATCTCCTTCACCTCATTCTTCTAGGCCATGCTCTGACATTAATTCTTCTCTAAAGAATGGAGTAATCCTCTCCCCTTATCCACCCCACTCTGGGAAACCTTGAACCCTGATCTATGGTAGGTTATAATTGTTTCTCTGTGTGTCTCCTCAGACTGAGTTCTTTGGGGACAGAGGTAGACTTAATCAATTTCTGAGCCTTACTAACCCAGCCAGGCCCAGAACAGCAGCTCAACACACATTTACATTTATCCAACTGCATGAAAACCCCAGTTCTGTGTGACCATGGGCAAGTCCTTTCTCCTCTCTGGGTCTCAGCTTTCCCATCTGTGAAATGGGAGGGGTGGTGCTTCTGTGTGCCACCTACACTATAGTCAGCAAACTTTTTCTATAAATGTCCAAATAGTAAATACTTTAGGCATATTAAACATAGGGCCTCTTTTGCATATTTTTTTACAGCCCTTTAAAAATGTAAAAACCATTCTTAGCTCAAGTGCTGTACAAAACAGGTAGCAAGACCCCCGCACTAGAGAAACTCCTGCATATGTACACAGGAGCCTGATCAAGGATCTTTACGGCAGCAGTGACGTAAGGGCAAGAAATTGGAAACAACCTAAATACCCATCAAGAGGATGACGGATGGTGAAACTATTGCACGTCTCTTGTCTGAAGTGCTGAGTAGCAGCTAAAAAGAGTGAGGTGTGTGAGTGGCATGAAAGAAGTTTCCAACACAGTATTGAGTAAAAGGAAACAAATTGCCAAATGATACATAGGGTATGAAAAAAATCAAGGAGACACCTAAGGTACCATGTACATGTGTGTACATGCCCAATAAAAGGTCTTGAAAAATCCACTCCAAACTCACTGCAGGGGTTACCAGTAGGACACAGAATGGGATCGTGGAGAGTCTGATGGTCATAATCTCAAGCCTCATCTTGAAAATGCTGAGTTCAATCCTGCCTCTAGGCTTTCACACTGGCCGTTCCTTCTGCCTTGGGACCCTCTTCCCTGGGGTTTTTGCATGGCTGGCGAGTTCTCTGTTAGGTTCCTGCTCAGTTGTCCCCTCCTCAGAGGTCTTCACTGACCCCCGTCTAAAGCAACCATCCCCAGGTGGAAAATGGAGTGGCAGTGGGTGAGGGATGGAGAGAGACTTCATTGTATACCGTTTCGTGCCCTTTGAATTTCAAACCAAGTGAACTTACCACCCATTCAAAAAATAACAATGTAAAAAACCCAGCATAGCTCCCCTAAGACATTTTCTTATCACGGTCTCCCAGTTTCATTTTCCTTGAGACACTTGTCAGTGTCTGAGATGACCTTATTTATGGGTTCCCTTGTTTGCTGTCCCTCCCCCACTCCACCCCACACACTAGGTGGTTCCAGGGGCTGAAACCTCAGTGGGTCTGCCAGGTTGATGGCCTGAGCAGGGCCTTGCACATAGCAGATGCCCCATACGTATTTGCCAAATGACTGGGCAAATCGTGTGTGCGGGGTTTTTTCCACAAGAAAAATGTATTTTGAATTATGTAATTAAAATTTAATTGTAAAAAGTTTCCCCTACCTCCCCTCCAAACAGATGAAAAATAGGAAGGGAAGAGAAGGTTATTGAACTGGGTGATTTTCAGGGTCCATTCAGCTCGAAATATTTCAAAGACATTTAGTTTTGGGGTTTTGAGGTTTGGGGTTTTTTTGGTTTTTTTTTTTTTGGGTCTAGCTGGTCGGCGGAATTTCCCCTCTCTCATAAGACTTTCTGTCTTATGAGAGGGAAGTAGGAGAAAGGGAAATAAACATTCTGGGGTTCCTCCATTGGTTTCTCTTCCTTCCGCTAGTCTGCATAGCTGGGGAAGGGGAGTTTTCTTCCTTAATTCCATTGAGGCCCCAGCTGGGCAGAGGGTCCCTAAAGGATGACAGCTGTCAGGCCTCCAAGTCCAAGGCAGAGCTTGAATGGGTGCCAGTGGGCTTCTCAGCCCCATTCTGCCCCATCTGTAACACAAAATGTGGAAGATGGTGAATAGGAACCCCTTCTTGCCCCTCAGCATTTACTCCCCTGTATTCTGGAAGCACCATTCCTATTTTTCCTTTGAGGAACCAGCATTCCCTATCTCTCATTTCCTCAGTTTTGGGTGGAGTGGACCCCAAGGCCAAGCGCTAGAGAATGGGCCTGTGACCCCAGCCCGGCCAATCAGAGACACAGAGACTGGTCAGGCACATGACCCAGTGTGGCCAATGAGAACCAGCTCTGGAAGCAGGGCTGCAACTACTGGGAAACTGGCGTGCTCTCCCCACTGGGGATGGAGCAGCAACTCTCTGCTACCTCATGTGGAGACGCTGCCTGGGAATGAAGCCAACTCAGAGAAAGGAAAACTAAGACAGTTCCTGATGACATCATCTGACAACCGGATGCAGTCATGCCTCAAGTCCCTGTACTCTTCAATTACATGGCCCAGTAAACTCCCTGGTTTGTCTTCCCAGGTTGAATGGGGTTTCTGTCACTCACAACTCAAAAGAATCCTGACAAAGACCTCCTTTCTGCTGCTGAGAAACCATCACCAAACACCCCCACCCCCACCCCCACCCCCACCCCCCGCCCCGATTGGTAATAACCCAACTCCCTTCTCTGCCCTGCAAAGGCCTTCTGGTTTCCTCCCTCACATTTCCTCCCAGTCCCCCACCCCATACCTTAGTTTATGTGGCTCCACTCACCACCTCCTTGGACATCTCTAAATAGGCTATCTGGGCCTAATTCACAACCTCTCTCCTCTAAGACCTGGGCCACCCGCAGAGATGTCCTGGTGGTCTCTGCAGTGCAGTTAGCCCTTGGTATCGGTCATCAACATCCCTTGAGTTTTTCTGCCTTATTTCTGGATGGAAGGGGTGGTGCTTGGGATGGTGGGGCTTCACAAAGCAATGTAGGGGGCACACTTCTTGGAGGAGATGCACAATCCCTTCTCCTCTGCTTCTGCATCACCACCGCCCGCTCCCTCCGCCGCACCAACCATCATGCCTAGCACAGGACCAGGTGTGAGAATTTATTACTATATCGGGTAAATTCCTGTCCCCTCTGGCCTCAATTTCCCCATCACTTAAAGAGGTGGCATGAGGGGGGGCGCTGAATTACATGCTTCTAAGAGAAACATTCAAGAACACAGGGTCCTTACCACCCAGCGCTCTCCTGAGGCCTGGCAGAACTGAGAGTAAGCGTCAGCGATGACTGTGGCCCTGGAGAGCAAAGGAAGTCCCTCAGGAGGGGACCCTCCTCCTACCACCCACCCTCCCATTCCACCCCACCCCACCCCAACTCACTTGCAGTGGAGCCCTCCCCCAGGAGGTAAATCCGGGATGTCCTCAGAGGCCAAAGTCCTGAAAACTGTGTTCAAGCTGGGGGGCTCCTGGCCAAAGGCACACAGCTCTGAAAAGGAGGCAAGGACTGTGAGAGTTACCCTGCTTGCTGACCACCCCTTCCGCCGGGCTCCTGGCACCTGCTCACCTGCAACCCTGCGTCCCAGGGCTGCGTCCAGCACTAGCTCCTTCCTGATGGCCTCCTCACAAGGCCTGGGGGCCCCCGGGAAGCAGACCAGGATGCAAGTCATGTTGTCCAGGCTTCCCTGGAGAAGGCAGAGAAAAGAGAGCCTGGTGGAACACGGTTGAATGCCCAGCACAGGGCTCCATGCCCTAGGAAACAGAGTTTCCCAACACTCCCCTTGCTCTAGTGCCCCCTTCCCAATCTGGTTATGCCCATATCTCTAAAATCCCACCCTTCTGTCAGTCTAAACCAGGCCTCTCACGAGGACCAATTCCTTAGACCACGCCCTCTCACTGTCCTAGCACCACCCTATTAAACAGAGCCACTTCCCTTTTCCAAAGCTCCTCCCACTCTGCTGTTGAGCTGTTCTTCCTTCTGCCACTAGTCACACCTCAGGACCCATCTTTAGGTCTAAGGGCTGTCCCATTCCAAAAGACCACGCCCTTCCTCGTAAATCCCTCCCACTTATCTATCGAGAACTACAACTCTTCGTCTTGTCTCAAGGCTTCCCTCAGTCTCCGTTCCCTGCACGTTTTGGCCCTGCCCCGTTCCAGCAGGCCCCGTCCCCTATTTGGAGTCCCACCTCTCCTTTTCTAGTTTTACTCTTGCCTCTGCATCAAAGCTCCTCCCCACTAAATCCCTTAGGTTCTTCCCTCTAAGATCTCAAGCCCCGCCCCCAGGACCTTGCAAAGACACGTGTCCAACAGCTGCGCGCAGAGAAGCTGTGGGGCCAAGCCCAAGCAGAGGCGAGACGCCACCAGTCCCGCCAGGGCAGAGCCAGACATGGCGTCCCACACACCATCAGAGGCCAGGAGCATGAATTCGTCCTCTGCTCGGCGTGCCAGGGCGGTCACTTCAGGCTCCGCGGAAACGAGCTGCAGTTCAGGGGGCCTTCCCGGAGCCTCTTTGTAGGCAAAGTCTCCCAGTGCTCGGGACACTGCCAGAGAGCCCTCGAGGCGCCGGCGGCTGATGGTGCCGCCCGCGTCATGGATGCGCTCGCGTTCCCGGGGATGGAGGGGCCGATGGTCTTCGGTGATGAAGGCCACGGCGCCGGCGCGACTCAGCACCGCGCGGGAGTCACCGCAGTGCGCCAGGTACAGAAAGTGCGGGGAAACCAGCAACGCCAAGGCGGTGGAGCCTCCCGGCTCGCCGCGGGGCCAGAGCGCGCGCAGGCGTGCGTCTGCGCTCAGAAAGGCGCGGCGCAGTGCTTCGCACACGCCCTCGGGCTCGCCGGGCGCTGGGCCCAGCGCCTCGAGCACGTAGCCCGGCAGGTGGCGCGCACCGAAGAGGGCGGCTCTCGTCCCACCGTGGCCGTCGAGGATCGCGAAGAAAGCCCAGCCCGGGCCCAGCCCGGGTAGCTCAAGCCAAGCGCAATGCGCGTCCTCCATGTGTGCGCGCCACCCTTGCACTGCGCTCGCCCCGAAGCTCAAGCCCCAAGACGCCGCCGCACCCCCGTGCGGCCGCTGGGCGCATCGCGGCGCGTCCAGGAGGGACTGAGGCCCGTCGGGAGAGCTGCGCCTCTCCTCTGCCTCCTCCACCCTCTCTTGCTTGCGAGCTGGCCAGAGGAGACGTTCCAGCAGGCGGGCAAGGGCCGCCATCCTTCAGCCTGGGGATCAGGAAAGCTCCACCCTCTGCACCTGCTAACAGCCCCGCAACCCCGCAACCCCGCCCCCGTCACCTCCACTAATCCTCTGCACTGTGAAATTTTAAACCACCTAAATCTCCTTCCTATGCCCTTGACTTGCACTCAAGTCGAATCACTAGAAGAGATTGAACTCTTCGTTCTCCTCTCTTCCGCACTTTCAAAGTGAGGATTGGGGTTTGGGTCAGGGAAAAAAGATAATAGTACCAAACTAGCATTTACCATGAGCTACACACTGTTATACATCATCATCTCCAATTTACCGAAGAGGAAACTGAGTCACAGAAGTAAACAGTGTTACAAGGAAACAATCTCTAGAATCCGTTTTCTCAACACAACACTCGGCTTCGGCTGCCCAGCCCGACTCTGTTCAATCTCTGCCCACATCAGTGGTCCCATCCGGGTTCCAAAAGCTTTACATGCTTAATTTTGTTATTTCGACCCCTCCCCTCTCCTCCCCTCACTCCAGGTTCAGCTCACCTTCTGGGCAGCACCACCACCCTTGATTGTTCTGCCCTATTCCCTCCAGGCCACGCCTCTAGCTCCTCAGTCTCGGACTGACCCCACCCAATTTAGAACAATTCTAAATTGGCTTAAACCTCCCCAAGTCTGAGTTCCTCCCCTTGTCTCAAAACTTTCCGAGTAGTTTCTCCCCGCCCCCTTTCCCACTCCCATTGAGAATCTAGGCTATACCTGTACCTCTCAGCGGTAAAATCTTTATATCCTCCCCTCAATGCCACCTCTAGCTCCACCCCAACCCACTCTGAGATCCACGCCCCCATCCTCTCCGCCTAGGCTCCTTCATCATCATTTCCCGGAGCCCCTCACGCTACCCTCGGTCCCGCTTCTCTCCCCCTAAAGGCCCCGCCCTCTTCTGCCTAGACCCCGCCCTTCAGACCGCCTTCCAGGCCTTCTCGACAGGTAGCCTACGGTCCTAGCTCCGCCCCTCTCTTAGGAAGGCCACGCCCACCTCCATCCTCCCGGGTGTTTCCCCTCCCCCTCGCCCTCCCTCATGTTCCGCCCCCCGTTCTCTGGCCCCGCCCCCGGGCCCCGCGCTGCAGTCGCCCCACAGCGGCCCCGCCCGCCACCGCTGAGCCGAACCGAGGGCGGCGGCGGCGGCGGCGGTGGTGGCGGCGGCTGTGGCGGCTGCTGGAGCGGTCCGGGAGGAGAAGGCAGCGAGGATGGCGGCGGCGGCGTCCTGGGCGCGGCGGAGATGAGCGCTCGCGGCCCCAGGCCCAGGGCGGCGTGGCCGGAGTGGGCGGGGGTCCCGATGCAGGCCCGAAGGGGGCCATGGGGCAGGTCCTGCCGGTCTTCGCCCACTGCAGTGAGTAGGGGGAGGCTCAGGCCTGGTGTGGGGCCCAGAGGCCCGGGTGGGCTCCTCCCCGGTTTCCCCTCCGACCTGGGCCGCGGGAGAGCCGAGATGGGGAGGAAGCGAAGGAGACAAAGGAAGCTCTCCCTCCCCACCGTGTTCTAGCGGCGATGGGGGCGACTTGACCCGGACAACCTGAGTGAGACTGGGCAGAGGCTGGGGGCACTGAGATAGCCGACGGGGGGCGCTCTGGGCCCTTGAATGTGCCCCGGGGCTCCGCCCGGGGATGAGGAAGCTCTCCGGGAGCTGTCCCCTCGCCCTGGTGCTGGCCACAGCCAGCGGTGAGGGGATTTGAATAGAGGCGTAGAGCCACGATGGAGAAGAGGGTCTGACTCCCCCCTTCCCCCGCATCACCCATCTTCGCATCCCACCTCCGTTTTCTCCCCAGACTCAGAGGCAGCCCCGACCTCGCCCGAATTGTACAATCCCCTGTCCCCGGGATACAGCCATCCCTGGGTTGGGACTAGGACTCCTGGGTCCTTAGGTTTTACCACTCCAGGTCTCTGACTCCTGGCCTCCTATTCCCTAGCTGAAGAAACGAGGTGGGGGCGGGGGGGCATCTGATTTCAATCTCCAAACGGTACTGAGCATCTCCTGTAGGCAAAGCCCCAAGCTAACTCTGAGAGGCTGAATTCCATAATTGAAAACGCCTTGCCTGAGCCTTATGATTTCTGAGCCCAGGGCTCTAACAGTCCTTGTCTAACATGCTCTGTCTCACACCCCTATGGTTCTGACAGCTGGGGATTGCAACGCCGACCTAGCCACTTGCATGTCTTGGGAGTCAACATGCCAAAATTCTGAGAATTTGTTATTTCAACATTTTAGAGTATCATCCCAACATTCTAATATCTTGTCCTTACCTGGGCTTACAAAGGAAAGCCCTACGTGATCTCCCCACCCCCACCCCACCCCACCTTTCCTCTCTGCCCTCATCTCCCTTCCATCTCCCCATCAGTCACCCTGTTCCAGTCCCATCTGCACACTTCTCAGTTCCTCAGATATGCAAAGCTTAGTGCTTGCCTCAGGGCCTTTGCACTGGCTTTTCCCTCTGCCTGGAAGACGCTTCCCTAGATATCCGCATGGTTTCCTCACATCATTCAGGTTTCTGTTCAAATGGCATCCGGGAAGTCTTCCTCACCAACCTGTCTGAAATAGCACCCCCTTACTTTCTCTTCCCTTACCTTAATTTTTCTCCACACACTTAGCACCCAACATCATAAGTTTAATTGTTACTGTCTATCTCCCCTATAGAGTGTAAGCTCTATGAGACTAGACATTTTGTCTGTTTTGTTCACAGTTGTATCCTCAGGATCTAAAACAGTGCCTGGCATGTATTAAACACTCAATTAATGGTTGTTGAAAGAATTAATTAATTGAAGCCTCCTAAAATCCCTAATTTAAAGACACTAAGATTGAGATTCCTGGATTTGAACTTCTAAGACTGAGCTTCAGACAGCAGGGATACTAAGGTTTTACAGTCTGTATACAGAATGTTCTAGAGGTCCTGTAATTAAAACTCTAAGATTCCTTAATTCAGACAGGTTTCCAGGACTAGCACACTACTTCTGTAACTCGGGCAATCTAAGCTTCTAAGAGTCTTTGATTCTTTCCCTCTTGCAGAAGAAGCTCCGTCTACAGCTTCCTCTACTCCTGACTCCACAGAAGGTAAGCAGAGAGGGAGGGTGTGAGAGTGGGACTTGAAGGGGGCTCACAGCTGGGTAAAGGGGTTAAGGGGAGTGGGCTAGGGTCTTGGTCAGAGGAGTTCATGCCCTCCTTTGCTCATGGCAGGAGGGAACGACGACTCGGATTTTCGGGAGCTGCATACAGCCCGGGAATTCTCAGAGGAAGACGAGGAGGAGACCACATCGCAGGACTGGGGCACTCCCCGGGAGCTGACCTTCTCCTACATCGCCTTCGATGGCGTGCTGGGCTCTGGGGCCCGCAGGGATTCAGCTGCTCGCCGCCCACGGCCCCAGGGCCGCTCAGTCTCGGAGCCGCGAGAGCCGCCCCCGCAACCTGGCCTGGGCGACAGCTTGGAGAGCATCCCCAGCCTGAGCCAATCCCCGGAGCCTGGGCGCCGTGGTCACCCCGATTCTGCCCCTCCAGCTGAGCGCCCCCTGGAGGACCTGGGGCTCCAACTGGACCAAGTGGGCTGGGCGGCCCGGGGAGCAGGGTCCGGGGAAGACTCTGCCACCAGTAGCTCCACCCCGCTGGATGACGAAGAGCCCGACGGATCAGAGGTTGGAGAGGCTGGGAAAGGTGAGATGTCCCAGGTGCTGGGACAAAAGCCACCAGGGGTGGGTGGTCTCTCCTTAGGGCACCTCCATGGTGAAAGCTCACAGCCTTCTCTCTCTAACGCACCAGAACTGGACCTACAACTCGGACTCGTTCAGTCCTCGCCGCCCGAAGTCTTGACTCCACAGCCCAGCCCTCGCTCTGGAATCCCTCAGGCCCGTACCCCATCTCCACATCGATCTCGGGATTCGAACTCTTGGCCAGATGAGCCCTCGCTGGACAAGAAGGAGGAGGAAGAGCCGTGGGGAGGGCTGGAGCGGGAGCCAATCACGGGGCAGTGCCTCGATAGCACGGACCAATCAGAATTCACATTGGAACCACACTTTCTAGGTAAAGTGCATGAGGGAACGTGCTCCTTTGGACTACAGCGAGGGTGGAGGATTGATTTTTAAAGGGACCATCCTCTGGAAGGAACGGAGGAGAATGGAGAAGCGAGGAGGTATTGCTACTGGCAAGACATTGTAAACTCCACCCTTTAAAAAAATTTTCCCGTTACCTGAGATTGCTATTGGCTCTTTTTAAATGGTTCCCCCGCCCACTTGAGAAGTTAGCCCTCCCACCTGAGAAGTTGGAAGAAGCATTAGGATTGGCTAATTGCTAAAAAATAATCCCTCTTTTGGAGTGCTCCCCCTAGAGGCTGATTTTGGACAGGCCAAATCCCTGAAAAAATAATGCTCTTTTCTGAATGTGGCCACCGGGCAAGTAAAAGTAAACTCCGTGCGTTTTAAAAACTCTCCTCTTCCCTGACCACATGAATTGGCCAATTGTAAATAGACCCCGCCTTACGTTAGAGTATGCTCAGCCTCCACGAACGGTTCCTATAGGTAGGTTATAGACATCACTGCTTTGGGCTGTTTACAAAGAGAGCCACCCCGTTTTGGAATTGTTCCCACCGCAATGGAGAGTCATTGGCTGGGTACAAAGGGGCCCCGCCCCCTTACTCCCTCCCTCCGGGTTCCACTGAAGTGGGCAAAATCCCTGAGAAGCAGCAGTGTCTGTAGCCTCTCACTCGGAGCCGAGATGGGGAGTAAAGGTGGGCTTTCGGGGCGGGTTGGGACGCGGGCGCTGGGGGACCGTGGAAAGGGACCCAGATTCACTTTTATCGC